CTCTCTCTCTCTCTCTCTCTCTCTCTCTCTCTCTCTCTCTCTCTCTCTCTGTGTGCGTGTGTGTGTGTGTGTGTGTGTGTGTGTGTGTGTGTGTGAGAATAACACACCCACACGGGGCAAAGAGACAAAAGGGAGAGAACGAGAGGCGGTCGACCCCCCAGTCAGTTTGGCGTGACCGAGAACATCGATTGCAATCCAGACAAGAATTCTGCTATTTTCTCTCTCCCTTGTCTCCCGTCGTGAATATCCGACCCCGCTCCCCCTCGAGTTCTCCCCTCTCCTGAATTTCTGACTTCGCTCCCGGCGAGCTTGCTAGCTAACTGATCCAAGAGAGGGCTTGCCTTAACGTTCCATCTCCCAACCGTTTGGCCATGGACGCCTCGCCGCGTCACAGCAAAACCAGGGTGAATGGCTACTGCGGCCGGCCTGTGTTCTCTCGATCGGGCACATACATCTTGGTCAGTTCCCTCCTGGTCTCTGCGTCGTAATTTCTGAGGCTACCCGCGTGGTGTCCAAACCTCATGAGCAAGCCGGACAAACCAACAAGCTATGGCAACCAACTCAACAACACAGTCGAATGCTTCCCCAGTCGGTTTCACTAGCCAAATGTTTTTCGACTGACTGATGATAAGCTTGTCAAGATGATTATGATTAGCTTAACAACAAGAAGAAACGGCGAGTCGGCTGATCGGTGTGACAAGACTAAACAAAACGTGCATTCAAACCAGGTTCAGAAGACGAGAAGACGTTCAGACCAAGGAGGTTCGGTACGTTTGCCAGGTTCGGCAACCCCGGAAAGCCGCTTCGAAAGCTCCCCCTCGTTCCCGAACACAACGCACCCTCGTTTTGAGGGTATCAGGCCGGAAACATATCTCGTATACGTTCATTTTGAGGGTGCGATATGTTTGGTTTGGGGGAAGACGGGCAGCCAGAGACGGCCTCTGCGTAAAGATGGTGAGGCCGTGAGAAATTACCGCCTCGGAAGTATGGATGAAACGACCCTAGCAAAGAGGTTCGGCAGGCCCGTCGGGGCTCGGCAACCCCGGGGGCTCGGCAACCCCGGGGGCTAGGACCCACTTGCACGAATTAAAAGATACTGACCGTAGATAGCAAAGATCAACGGCCGAGATCTCCCTATTTGCGCAAGTGGGAACGATCATAGGAAGAGGGCATCGCGTTACTACTCGCGAAACGTGCAAAAGGAGAACGAACTTCCCGCTAGAACACAACCAGATGCACCCGCCACATTTTTGGCTTTTTCATTTCACATTTCGAGTTCGAGAGTGGTGTGGCCAGGCCCACAGTCCGAACTTGGCATGGCGGGAAGGAAAAACGATTTACGGTCAAAAAATCACAAAAAGAGTCGGCAACGACGCAGCGGGCCGGGGTCTCGCCGTTGTCACGAGGCCGTCGAAGCGGAAAGGAAGCGGAACAGCCACAAGCGCGGAAGCTCGAGCAATTCCGTGGCTCACGTTTGTAGCCCCGAGTGGCGAGTCCGATTCCATCCCCGCGCTTTTCCTCTTCTGTCCAACTCGGTCCCGCCTCGGTGCGTCCTTCCCGAAACGGGAAGCCGAATCTGGGCGCATGTGCGTCAGCGCCCGCGTACCGAACCTAAAGGTCCCCGCGCGAGCGCTCCCCGGTCTTTTTTTTTTTTTTTTTTTTTGGGAAAACTCCCCGCTCTTTTGTTGTCGTTGTCGGGCCTCTCTCGTAGGTTCGCCGCCCCTCCCCAACGATGTGCCTGCCTGCATTGCCCACCTGCATTGCCCGCCTGAATTGCCTGCCTGTCTAAGTCACTGGTCTGCTTGTTCGGTGCAGATCTTTGACGTGACGTGACGAACCTGTGATCGTTATCCAGTCGCATTACGTTGCGAGAGAGAGGGGAAATCGAGCAGACCGCGGCATACGCGTCATCTGCAGCTTGACACGCAAGCGGCCCGTGCTTCAAGCAAGCGACCCACGCTTCGCGCAAAATGGAACCTCACATATCGATCGAGATACGGCCCGTGATGCCACGCTTTTCTCCCCAGCATGGCCCGCCAAGCTGGGGAGACCGTGAAGTCTATCCGGTCTACGAATGCCACAAAACAGCTTGGACTTGGATGATCACAAATCCAGGTGGATGAGCTGTACCGGAAAGTGACATGCACACGCGGTAATTGCACTTCGATTCGGGCCTGGGCCGGTAGCAAAAGCGGCAGGCCACGAGCCTTGGAAAGTAGCTTTGATCCAGCGGCCTAGCTCAGTTGGTAAGGCACGCAAGTGGCGTTCAGGAGGTCTTGGGTTCAATCCCCATTGGCCTCATGTACCTTCCTGGGCAAGCTTGGCGCCCGCCACCTAGAGATAGGCCGTTGGTCGTCTCGAGCAGCATTGAGCAGAGAGTGCTCATGTTCTTAGGGGGAGGGGAACAAAGGGGAGGCACAAAGACTGGCCCATCAAAGAAGCTCGCTCCAGAGGCTACAGGCTGACCCCTGGCCGGTATCGCCCACCTGTTGAAGCCGGTATCGCACCTGTTGGTGGGTGCAGCTCCCGCATGTTCCCTGGTTGAACACGGTTGTGGCACACGTGGCTGCTATGGGGTTCCCTGCCCAGATTTGACAGGAACCCAACTTCTCTATTTTACCAACCCTTAGGGTCTCGGCCAGGTAGTTTTCTGGCTATTCCAAATAACCGCTGTGATCCTCTGGCTATTCGAGATAACCACTCCTCCGCGGTAACCCACAAAGAAGTCGTAATCATGCGGTTTTCACCTGGACAGTGGGGCTCTCCCCTTATCCTGAAGTATGCACCCAATAAAGTACTGAAGTATGCACCCTATAAAGTACATATGCTCTCTATTGAAAAATCACATTTGCCACTCACATACCTGAGATGCCCACCCTTGCGAGGTCACTGCCTCTGATGAGGTTCGTGGAGAGTTCTGGCGGGCGCAGCGCTACCAGGAGCGCTGCGCCCGCCCGGACTAGGACTGCCTGGCTGATGTAGGGTGCTTTCGCACGCTGGTATAGGCGGCTGGTAGAGGGGCGGTAGGACGATGCTGGAGGAATGGCGCGGTGGCAGGCGATGGCGTGAAGAAAGGTACACCTCCATAGTCGGCTCCTTGCTGCATGAAGGTTGGCGGGGAGAGGGCCGACCGGCTGCGGAAGGTGGGAAGGGTAGGTGCTATGAGGAGGGAAGGTTTTTGCTGCGAGTCAGGGATCGTGTAATCAGAAGCACATGAGGGAGGAAGGCTGCTGCGGCGAATCATCGGGCTCCGGTTTCTTCTCCAGTTGCGATCCATGTTGCCGCCATGAGGATCTGCTCGACTTGTGTCCGCATATTCTATCGCCCATAAGGTAAGCCTACCTAAGTAAGCTATGGTTGTGTGGATGAGGCGACGCGGTGGGCGAAACCTTTCCCTCTTCCTCAACCGTATGGTAAGCGTATAGCTAGGGTGTTTTTGAACCCCCTGTGGCGACTCGTCAACAAGTTTGGCGAGGGGGTGCCACACTATTTCGATTTCCGGTAGGAATTGAAGACGGTCGTTCATGTCTTTGGTGTTAGTTTTGCCTTGAGCCTAGAAGCCAGCAGAGGGAGGAGGGGAGTCTTTCCTTCCCCAAAGACGCAGGGGTAGGGTTTGAGGGGTGGGAGGTAAGTGGTGGGTTGAGGAAGAAGGGATAGGAGGCTGTTTTATTGATTTGGAATTTAACCCATGCGTGGCTTAGCTGCTTTATAATTTGAAATCTACTAATATCCTCATAACCAAGCTTTTTTATCCTGTTGATTTTCCACTGATAATAACTTGTGAGTTCAATTCATGATTCTCGACTAACTTTTTTTTCCCTAAGTCGTTTGACTGGTATGATCTTGTACTTATTTTCACTTGTTTTTGTTTGATGATCAACATGTTTTTGCTGATCACTTTTTCGAAAGTATTTCGATAGTATTTGTTTCTTGATATTTCTTGACTATCGCTCGTAGTGATTTTTTGCGAAATTCCTATTCAACATTATGTTCTTTGCCACATAGTTGCTTCCTTTAACAATGCAACTACGATCAGGACTATTTTCTTGATTTCAAATATTTGTGAGTCCAATATTGGACATCTTGGATATATTTCTTAAATCTTGTCTTTAAATTTTAATTTCCAAAAAATATTTCAGAGAGATTTCCTAATCTCTATTTCTGAATTTCAATTTTTAAAAGTATGTTTTTGAAGTTTTTTTTATTCAAGAAAACCTATGTCTGCAAATCTTAACCTCCTGGTCTTGATTACTGTTGCGATAAACTCTGATTTTATGACCTGAAGATGATTGCGATGACCAGTCACAGCATCGGCACAACCAGCATTTCGCCGTTCCACCTCAACTTCAATCACCAAACAGATAGTTCTCATCACACTGCGAACACCCAATATTCACACCTTAGTCTTCCACTCGTCTTCACCCTCCTCACTACACACCACTTACGGCCAAACTCTCCCAGCAGACCGCATGTATGTACCGTATAAGGCAGAAGACAAGCGTCAGATGAGCGCAATCGTAAAGTCTTTTTAACCAATCAGTCCTTCCCTTAATTGCAGCCTTAGTCAAT